CAGCCGGAACGCGGCGGAACCGCGTTCCGGCACCTTTTTCCGGGCTGGCCGCACCGGAAATAGCCCCTCCCACACCGGAAATAGCCCCTCCCAAATTTTACTTGCATTCCTGTTCTCTAAAGGGGCGGTCCTAGGGTTTGATGAGGGCGTGGCCAGGTTTGAGTTCCGCCACCTTTTCTCCGAGAAAAAAAGCCCTGGCGACATATAACAAAGCTAAAACAGCAATTAATAATACTTATTATGTGTTACATGCAAGTGTTACTTAAATATTCAAAACTGTAATATTATGAAAAGGCTTTTTTAAGAATACACCAGATTTCCCCTAACCCTAAAAATGCATTATCCACATCATTTATTGTGGTTTTCCAACAAATTACTGAAAAACCAAATTATGTGACTCCAGAAAGTTCATCAGATTAACATTTTTATCATTTAAAGATATATAGCATCTGTTCAGATTTAATTTAATTTAGGTTTAATTTAGGACAAGTAATGGGGAACTGGTATACTCTAGAGTAGACTTTGGGACCAAAGGGTTAGGGGAGCCGAATGTGGAAGAGGCCGACATAATCTGGATGTTGGCTGTAAGATGTAAGAACCCCTGTACTCAAGAGATCATACTTCATTTGATAATGGTATATTTTGTTGAGATAACAGTGTACCTAGAATTATATAAGTATATATGTTTGCATGTATAAATAAATGCATGACAGTAATAGGAAGCTACTTATGGACATATCAGGATATAGAGGGACACAGAGATGAATGAACAGAAAGTTGTTTTTAAAACTTTCTCAAAGAAATGCATCCTTTCAATAGATCTGAAGTAATGTCAATCAGCCCAAGACATGACATTCCTGTATAAGTAGATAGATAAAAACAAATAAATTATCATAGATTTATCTTCTAAAACAAACTTACAGGAACATATATCCCAGTAATATCACTGAATAAGAACAATTTACTAACATAAATGTCTTATATGAGGAATCTCTACACCCTTCCTCCCTAGTGGGAATTATAACATGAAGGAAATCAAGTGCATATATGAAATAGTTATTTTGTGATCAGGGCAGGAATTATTCAGTACATTACAATGAGGTCATTATTGGCAGCATAGGAGCAACCATGGAATAAAGACTGACCATAGTCAACTGTTAGCACTTCAGAAATTGGGTTGAATTTCAACTTCTGTGAGGGGGTTGGGGTGAATTTCAAGTGCTGTGTTGGTATCTTTGGACAGGCAATGAAATTGTATTACTTAACTTTGGTATCTTCACTATAATATCTAGCAACTGACTTACTACTAATCAGTTACAAAAAGAGAAAATATTAGGGCTTTTCTCTGAGATTCTCTGCTATGCTTCAATGGGATTTTATCTCTGAGATTCAACATTACACCCTAATCTGTAATTTTACAAACACAAGGGAAATCAGATACAAGAATGCCTGGATGAAACACATTTTCTTTTGGTTGAGATTAATTGGGGATGGTGTTAAAAAGATTTTTGCTTGTATAATGTTGGCTTTTAAGTATCCTACTTCTACTGGGAAATGTGGGCAAATCACAGGCAGAGATCATATAAACTAAATTATACGGTATTATCATTTGTTTGGCTTTACTGTGCATTGTATGATGTTAGCGGCTTGGATTTATAAATTATGTCTTAAAGTAATGTGTAAATCCATAATGACTTATTCAACAAACAGTGAGTTTAGTGTGATGCTTGAAACAATCTACACTTTTACAAGCACTGAAATTACAAATAAACATCATGAGATGTACCATTTCTCCTTATATAGCACTCAGCCAAAATTGAATAAGTGCATTAGAAAAGACCTAGTGATTACCCCTTACTTGGTTTTCTTATTAACTTCAATCTTTGGCTCAAATATATTTTGATAAATCACATAGAGCCAAATACAGTCTTAGGTGTGCCAGCTATGGTAGTAACTGGAGATTCAAAAAGTATATGGCAGATTCCTGTCTGTTCCTTCTGGGCACTCCTAGTTACTGACTCTTTGATGGAAGTTGCTATGATCAGTACTGACATAAGATTCAACTGTAAGTTCAGTTGGCTTCTACATGGAATGAGGGAGGATGCCATCTTGTTTTCTGCTTCAGGAAGCAAACCATTTTGGGCTTTTCTTGTGTCTAATAAAATAGCCCGTCACGTCTGTTCGTTTCTTTTCTCTTAATATCTTTTCTCACTTGCTTATTGCTAATTCTTTCACATCTTTCTTCATCTTCAGTCCTGTGGAACACCAGATGGCATCCAGCTCTTTGCCTTGTATATAACTGATATAGCCAGAGCTTTTGATCTTCCCTCTCCAATGGATTAAAGGAAGGGGGGGGAGGGATGAAAAAGAATCTTCCTTCGGTCAGGTTACCAGTTAATGTGTTCTTTCCTTTCCCCTGTTCCATCCCACTCTATAACCGGTAAAGAATGGTTGCTTTAAAGCTTTCTTGACTACAGTGCATTAACCTGGTTTCTTCTGTTTATGACAAACCAAAATCTGGAGTATAGGAATTGAGCATTAGAAGCTGAATATGGACTGCTTTTTATAACAAGTTGCCACTTCCAGATTCTTATGGGGAATTGAGATATTTCAAGATAAAGCAGTATGTTAATGGCAAAGCTCACAGCCTTCTCTTTGGGCCAGTGTAGTATCAGCATTCAAAAGCCTAAAGGTTCTAAAAGCATTTTAGTTAACATTCTGGTTCAATGACCCTTTATAAAAAATATAAATACCTCTGGAAAAATCAGCTGGCCTCTTTTCTCTGTAGATAATTCTCTTATCTTTTGGATCTATATTTGTGACTGAATGAATTAGAGGTATCCAGTGTATGACAGAGAGGTAACAGCCTCCAAGCAATTTTTAGATGCACAGTATCTTTGATCAGGTTGATATGTTGTTCTAAGCCATAATATGTAGGTTTGGGGTTCAGTGTATTGTGTGAAGCCAGCCAACATGGCTATAAATAATAGTTTATGGTGCAATATCTAGCATGACTCCAGTAAGCTGTACTTTGTCTACTAATCAAAGACAGTTGGAGAAGAAACCCACAAGGTCCCCAAGAACTGTTCCATTGGCTTAAGGCCTGCTCCAGTCTTTGCATCTAGTTTGGATGCATTCCAACAGAAAGGGAGTCAGAACTGAAGTGTTCAAATTTTGAAACTAATGCTATTAGTCTTTGCAAGACTTAAAATCTTGGTTTACTTCCTATCCCAAAATTCAAAACATGCAAAAAAGATCCTATTTTTTGAGATCCTATCTGCTCTCTGGCCCACAGAAGGAAGGGTGATGGGCCACATTTTTTTGTATCCAATGGTAGCTCAATAGGTGGATGGTGTCTAAGACACACTGGCCCATACAATAAATAGATCTGACCACTGTGAAGATTATTATCTGATTCCTTATTCTTTTGTAATTTTTTAAAATAAATCATATTTAAACAACTAACTTTTGTCTTGTCCACTATATTTCATCTTTCCATTTTTTTCTATTCATCCCTCCTTATTTTCTCTTACACATTTTCCTCATACATTTTGTATACTTCCTACAACAGCCTTCCTAAGTAGGTTGTGGATTATGGGAGTTGCAGTTCAAACATGTGTGGACAACTTGGGGAAGGTTGTACTTGAACACATTTTTTATACTGGCATTCTAATTGTGATTCTGTTTTCTATAACTACAACAATTAGCCTCTGAATAATCCACAGTGTAGATAACTACTACCTTTAAAGGAAGAACATGCCTGTTTACATTGTTCTGTTTTCTCATTTACAACAATCTCTTGTGCTACTAAGTGCTTACTCCAAGCAAAACACTTCAATAGGAAACACACCGAGTACAGTAATTGTACTCAAGGGAGAAGGAAGCAGAGAAAGGTTCAGCACGAACACTAAGTGCCATTGGTTGCTTTCTAATGTCATGGTGGGTTGTCAACAAATCTATTCTTCTCTCAGAAGAGTGTCCTACAGCCAGAAAACTTAGCAACGTGGTTCTCATATAAAATGGCAAAACTGGAAAAAAAGAAATATGTTACTTTTTGAGGAAACTTGGTCCAAAAAGCAAAAGGGCTAACTTTATAATTTAAAAGTGCTATAAACTGTTTGTAGATCTACCATAGTTGTTTCTGAAATCCCTGGACATGTAATTTTAGAAGTTATTCTTAAGCCCGATAAAATGTTAACTTGATTTACCTAGCATGCAGAGGAATTATACTGAAAGACATAGAGAAATTGTCAAAACCATTATAATAAGCCATTACTACTGTTGGATGCATTTTGAGTGAAAAGCTAGTCATTAATTCAAAACTGATATAAGTACGCAGGCACTATAACTTCCCACACATAATTAGGTTCCTTACTCAACAGACAGTTGCCAAAACAGGAATTTTCCTAGTCACCTACCTGCCATGTAGGGTCAGCATGCCGGAAATAGCAGAAATTATCAGTAATCCATTTATAGATGTCTGAGAGGGTGATCTTTGTTTTCTTGCTTGCTTCCATTGCCATGCAGATGAGGGTAGCATAAGAGTAAGGAGGTTTCACATGAGGGTTGGTCTTGTAATCTATGTTTTCTAGTGGCTGGCCTTGTAGATGTGCAGTCCTGGATGTGGAGGAGGAAATTGGCTTGCCAGGGGTATGGGGCATTCCCATGCATGCTGGATCACCAGCAAGGGGGGAACATGGTGCAGCCGAGCCAGGTATTTTGTGATAACCATGAGGATCTGTACTGCATAGGGAAGAGGATGACTTGCCCATGTTTGCATTGATGATGGAGAATTCCTGAAGCCACTGTAGGCTGGTCAAGCTGTCATCCAGGTTGCCCGAATCCATTATGCTATAGTCCTGACTTTTTTCTTCCTCTGACTGCATATTTAGCCAGCCGTCAGTCATGCCAGTGGAAGTCAAAATAGGCAGGTCCAACATTCAGGAATTGTGGGAGAGCAGGAAGGGGGGGATTGGAAAAGAATGGGGAGGATGGGTAAGGGAACAATCCTGAAACAACAACATGAAGACGTTCAAGGTCCCTAACCACTACGCAGCACACAGATGTACCCTTGAGCAAGTTACTTCCCAGCCAAACATTAAAAAGCACAAGAACCAAATATATCCTGGATGTAACCCTAGAGAATGGAGTCACATCTCTCAAATCAAATCAAGTCAAACCAAATCAAATCAAATCATCCTTCTCAACTATAACAGCTTACTTTATGTAGGCCACAGTGGTGATAAATTGGGTGGAATTTGCCCAATCCCATTTGTGGCAAGGTTTTTCTCAAAACTACCATGAGTCTGAATAGCTTTGTTCCTATTGAAACACCATTATAACACAGAAAGTAAGAAACCACTGAAATAATCCCTGATATTTCTCTCATTGTTATAAAAAATTCTTTAATTTCATTATTTATTTATATGTGTATATATATATATATACATATATATATACTGCTCACAAAAATAAAGGGAACACAAACTCCTTCAGTTCCATGGTAAGATGTTCCCTTTATTTTTTTGAGCAGTATATATACATATACATACATACATACATACATACATACATACATACATACATACATATATATATCACTATGAATTGTCTTTGAAAAAAATGGATGGAGATATGAATACATATATTTAAGACAGCAATTCTATATACACTTACCTGGGTATAAGCCCTATTAAATGCTGTGATGTCTATTTTTAAGTAGATATGATCAGGACTACACTTACAATAACACTAATAATTGATGAACATATCTTCCACTATCCAAATTAATAAGTACTGGGTGTATAACTTCTTTTCACAATGGCTAGAACTGCCAATCCTATCCTGGGCATATATATTCAGTACAAATGGGAAGTTTTGTTCTTGCTGAAAGTACCTCAATACAGAACAGTCTGTTGAACAGACTGAAAATTAGACAATTTAAGCTAGACAATTTAAACAAACTTACAGATTCTTATAGATTTTCTGGGCAATTTTAAGGGGGCACTGATCTAGGTTACAATCATACAATAAACTGGAAGGATCAACCACATGTAAGAGCAATGAATACTTGTATTTAGGTGTACAGTCTCCAGAACGAAGAAATGAAAACCACGCCAAACACCTCCGTCGTTAAAGACATACAAACCCAACCCCAAATTACACTACCGAGATCGTTACCTTAGTTTAATGTCTCCTCCACTCCCTTGAAGTGAAAGTTTTTTCTATACGGTAACTGATCCAGGGAACCCACGATCATAGTTTGATGCGGTGGATGTGGGAAGGAGAATAAGGCTTTCCCAATATCATGGGAGGTAGAAACCTACACGTCCCTCTTCTTAGCCAGCCTAATAAATAAATAATCCCGTCATCTTACCTGCTCCTATGAAGAAACCCCACTGCTGCCAAAGGTTTACAGCTAAACGGGGGAGGGGGGGGGCTCTTCGGTGGGGTAACGAAGAAAAAAGGGAGGGGGGAGAGGGGGATTTCTACTGTTCTCCCGTCGGATAAATTATTAAAGCTGCCAGAGCCCTTTTATCCCAAAGGTACTGTGATTTGTAAGCAACAGAATGACTGTCAATAAGTAGCTGCTCCAAAAGGCTTCTCTGGATGCCATGGAGACGCTCCGCCTCCATAAACAGCTTCTGCCCTTCCCATTGGTCCTCGGGTCTCCATGGAGAGCGCAAATCATTGACAGCCCCCCCCCTCCCGTTTTTCTGCTCAGTTCTATGACTTTGCACCAACTTTTTAATCCCCATTAAATCTTCCCTTGCTCGCTTTTTTTTTTTTTTTTTTTTTTTTTTGCTGCCGGTTAGTTTTTAGTTGCAGGTGGGGGGGAAGAGGGCTGGCCTACGAAAACCTGAGTTGGCCCGGTTTCACACGTTACCCTAACACGTGAAGGTCTCTCCCCGTTTGGACGCGCTCGACAAGGCGGAGGCGTGCGTTCGTTCGTTCGTTCGTTCGCTTGCCGAGGGCGAGGGATTAGTCTGGGGTAACGACGCCGAGGGGGGCGCTTGGAGCTTACTGCTGTGAGTTTCATTAAGACAAATTAAAGTCCACTTGAAACGGCTCCCAGATGCCCATTCTTCTTCGGGCGGCGGTGGTGAAGGGGCCCGTCTGCCAAGAACAAACGGCCCAGCAACCAGAAAGATCCATGCCTTGGAAAGAAAGGGAACCGTTTAAATCGCCTGTTCCTTCCTCTCAAAACTTGGCAATCCCAGCCTCTTAACTAGCTGTTGCTTTGCCCCAGCCTCCTCAAGAACGGACTGTTGTGGCTTCTCCCTTGGGTTGCTTGTTTATTTATTTAAATCAGTGTTTCTCAACCTTCACCATTTTAAGGCATGTGGACTTCAACTCCCAGAATTCCACAGCCAGCATTGCTGGCTGTGGAATTCTGGGAGTTGAAGTCCACATGCTTTAAAATGGTCAAGGTTGAGAAACACTGATTTTAAATCATCATCATCGTCATCACCACCACCACCACCACGATCTATCAGAGACAGTACTTCTGTCTTGAAGTTGCCTTTTCCAGAAGAGGCACTGTAGGAAAGGGAGAGGACATTCAGGGGCAAAGGTTTCTTCTCCTGCCCTTGAACTCTTTGCCACAGCTGCTTTGACAGTTAGCTTTTCATGACTTCAGAGACCAAATGGATCCCCTGCCTAGACCTCCTGCAGTTAAGGGGCACTCATGCCCTGGGGTAGAGGCATGGGGGAGGGAGGACTATGCCAGCCTCCTTTCTCCTTTCAGGCCACTGAGTTGGACCTGAAACTGCCTGCCTGACCTTTGTGTGTAACCTGATCGGTGGGGAGGGGGAGAGGTGAAACCAGAGCTCAGGTAGAATTGGGGGAGGGAAGTGAACAGGCCCTCAATCAGAAAGATTGCAGCATCTTTCCCCTTTTTTTTAATTAAGAGGCAGGGGTAGAAATCCTCCTCTGGAGGCTCCTTCTTTGTTTCCCCCCCCCCCCATCACCTTTCTCTCCTTTGAAAGAAAGCATAATCGAGAAGGATATTAGATATTTATCACGTTCTTCAAGAAACTGCCGTCAGCTTCTAGCACCAGGCCATTTTATTCTTCCCAACTTCCCTAACTAAGGAAGAAAGTTCTCTGCTGGAGCAGCTTTTCCAGCACTGCTTCTACGACACTCTTCTGCTTTTCCTGTCCCTCATTTCTTGTTTAGTCACACAGGCTACCTTTGATGCAAATGCATTGTCAAAACACATTCCTGCAAGAGACATTGCTCTACGAAGGGAAGAATGAACTTACCTTTTCCAGGTTATCTGTTGCTGTGATGAGTTTTTGATGATGAAGGGCCTTTTTGTGCAGAAAGAGACAGTGGTGACATCATGAAAACCGACTAGTGGGATCCAGGCACTTCTGTTAATCAGTCACCTCTTTTGCATTCTTTGAAAACTCTGTATTGGGATAAGGATGGAAAATGGAGAAACAGAAGCAGTCCTTCTGGGTAACAAAGTAATGAAAATGAGGACTCTTTTTTTATTATTAGGTTTTTATCTTACCTTCATTTTTTGTTAAGGTGGCATATATACATAATACTCCTTCCTCCTCCTATTTTCTCCACAACAATAGTCCTGTGAGGAGGGTTAGATTGAGAGAGAGGGGGACTGGTCCAGAATCATCCAGCTGGTTTTCATGCCTAAGGCAGGCCTTAGTGAGGCCACGAGGTCTTCCAATTTCTAGCTTGCACCTTAGCAAAATCTTTCTTGGCTTCTGATTACCAAAATATGAATTGGGGTAGTATAAGTATACAGTAGTTGTGATTCAAACAAAAGTCAGGGGAACCCAGGGTCAAATTCCTAGATGTTCTTTCTCAACCGAACTTACCTCACAAATAATACAAATGAAAATTGCACTCTTTTGTGTTCTTGGAAGAAATATGAATCCAAAAGTCAGAATTACAAAGCATTGTGAGGCTTCCCTCTGGTATGGGTTCTGCTATAACATAAAGACACCCTCCTGCCCTGATGTAACTTCTCTGCACTACTCCTGACATTTGCATACCATCCAGCTTATAAAAACTTCAGACAATGCCCCTCTCTGGCGGTTACTCATTTTGGAAGCTGGCCCAGCTCAGCCGGTAAAGAAAGGTTGCAGCCCTGCCATTTGGTCACTCCCTCAAAAAACGATGTAAAATGTGAGGGAAAGCTGCCTTCCCCATCTCAAAGTGAAAATTATGTGGACTCAGGTCTTTGTTGTAAGAAATGGTGGGTTTCATCTCTCCTGGGCCAGACTACATGGAAATTTGGGGAGTTAAAACTTGGGAGAGGATTCAGCATCCAGGACGGCTGAGCTACTGTCTCAACTGCCTCCCAGTTAGAACCTGTCTTGTGCTAAGGCATTCACGGTTTGAGGTTCAAGCCAGATGAATCTTCTTTTCATTTCATTTATATAAAGGCAATGATTGGCACTTGAATTTTATTTCAATACTGGTATAGGCTTAGTGTCCTTCAGACCACTTCAGAAGATTGGCTCAAAGAGGATACAAAGGTCTGTTCATTCAGGTGTCATTTTTCCCCCTCGTTGTGCCCCTTCAAAATTTGGTTTTTGCAATAGCTATCTCATTCTTTTAAATAGTAGGCTAGATTTTTTTTAAATGGCAAGAAAACAGAGATGCTGATAATTTTGTTGTCTTTTGAATTAATAAGGCACAGTTCAATTTGCAGACAGAACTAGGGTTGCATGGTAAAAGGAAAAAAGAAAACATGTACTGATAGTCCTTGACGTACGACTACAATTGAACCCAAAATTTCTGTTAAGTGAAACATTCGTTAAGTGAGTTTTGCCCCATTTTACGACCTTTCTTGCCACAGCTTTTAAGTGAATCTTTGCTTGTTGAAAGGTCGCAAAAGGTGTTCACATGACCTTGGAACACAGCAATGGTCATAAATATGAATCACCAAGCATCTGAATTTTAATCATGGGGATGCTGCAAAGGTCGTAACTGTGAAAAACGGTCATAAGTCAAATTTTTCAGTGCCGTTGTAACTTTGAACAGTCACTAAACGAACTGTTGTAAATCAACTACCTGTACTTTTGATGTTGTGGTAGTGTTAATTTTACTATCTATAGTGCATATAAGAATTAAAAAATCATTAAGCTGCACTGCTTGCTAATATGCAATTGAAAGTGTTTATTTTCAGAATTATGGTTATTCATAAAATGAGAGCAAAATTGGTGTTGGCTTCCTTGCTTCCTTGCAGTTTACATCAGGAGTGTCCAACCGTGGCAACTTTTAAGACTAGTGTACTTCAACGCCCAGAACTTCTCAACAAGCAAGGTTGGACACCCTTGGTTTACGTTATTTTAGGTCAGAGAAATATTCACTTGAGATTTAAACATCACCCCTTCTTTATCTTGCATTCTTTTATGATGCAGCACATAGGCATACCAGTGAAGCCCCCAGATTTTGCTGAACTGTATCTCCCAGCAGCCTCCCTCTCTCTCTGGCTATGTTGACTGGGAGAGCTGAGAACTGCAGATCCACTCATCTGGAAGGCTGCATGTTTTGGCTTCCTTTTTGGTCAGGAAATTATGAATCGTGAAGTTGATATCATCACCATTACCTTCTTCATTTTCTTTCACACTACAACTTTTCAGACTTTGGTCTTCCTGGCTTAACACAAGAGGTGCTCCTTTTAAAACTTAGCATTATACTTGTAGGGGAAATTAGATGGGAAGAAGGACCATATCATATGGTTTTTCTCTGTTATCCCCAACTGCAGCAGGAGAGGGAATGGGGAATAGGGACATTTCATTGGCCTGGCTGAAAGAACAACTCCTGTCACTGAACTGTACCCAGTTAATCATTGTGCAAAGATCACTATAATTGGGGATTATAATTAGGAAGTGATGCTAATTCTTTCCACCTTTTTTTCCCTGTCCCTTTTTCCTTCTGTTTCATAATTTTTTAGATTATAAGGCTGCATGAAGGAACTAAGAAAATAGAAAAATGGCATAGAAATGTTTTAAAGAAACCACTTCAAGTTCACTTTATCTTTTGCAGTGCTTCTGGGAATTGTAGTTTAGCAAAGTTTGGAGGGATTAAAAACTGCCCACTTCTAAAATATTGTAAATAAGCCTGTATAATGAGAAAAAAAAGTTTCCTGAGAACATTGAAAGAAAAGCTGCATTCTTTGCAAAGTACCACTTAATAGTCCATGCTGGCTAGAGACAACTAAAATGGACTGCTTCTGTTAGGGATTGACAATTACTGCAACACACAGTTCTTAATATATTTGTAAAGTTAACTGATTAATTCAGCTGGAGGTAGGTAGGAAGCATTTAAAAATACAAGGCATTGTTGGGGGAAAAATTAAGGCTTTTAAAAGCTTACATATCCTATAGATTGGAAATGCCTAAATTTGGCCCGACTAGCTTTTAAAT